GAATGCCTTGACTCCAATCTCATTAATTGTGTTCTTAAGTGCTGAAAATATAATTTCAACATGCTCGGAACAACAATCAACGCTCACATTCACATCCCACCTGAGGTTCAGACACAAGGAACTTTAGGCCCTCAATGCCAGAAAAACAAAATAAGGAGCACAAGCATAAATTGCTGACCAACAAATTGATCCAATGGAAATAAGAAAGGAATGGGAACAGGAAACGTACTTCTCGATCAATTGTATAAGGTTTACCAGCTCTTCTTGAGAACCTCCAGCGTCAGTGAAATCATCAACCACAGTTGTAAGCACTCCATTTTTGGCCCATGACATGCGGGCATCTGATAGTTCAGGAGGGAAAAGGTTTGCAGCAGCAGAGAAGTAACAGTAGGCCTGTTTCTGCCTAGAAAACTTTAGCTTGTCTAATCTGTTCTCCACAACCCACCTGCTTAGATGGATGGACATCGTAAATAATCAAACAAAATAAAATAGAGATATTCTGAATTGCCTTAAAACAACGAAAGCAACCACCTCCACGACCTGCATTTCCCTTGTTTCAATTGAAATCAAGGTCAAGTGGATATATCTACCTTGCAAGATGGTTGAGCTCTTTATGGTGTATAGACTGGCAAATGTTGAAGTCTTCCACTGCCAGTTTTAGAAAATCTTCATTTCCAATATTCAAACAACTAGCATGAGAGTACAAGGATAAATAAGTAATCTACATTGATCCCTCATAATAATTTGGCAGAAATCAAATTCTTCTTAAAATAGAGGGAGAAGAAGAGAGAGACAGGAGGAAATACTAGAGGTTTACCTATAAGATGATTTTAAAATTCTTGTACTCTCTGTGTTGTAAGATTTTATTGCTCTCCTGCTTGATAACCGGCCCAAACTTGCGTAGAAAGGAAACTTAAGAGCATCATCCACCTTCAAATAATCAAAAGGTGAAATTTGAGGGAATTACCTTGTGATTATAAAAAGCTACATTACTGTGGGCACCAAATTAAATCCGAACCCTAATTCCTTCCATTTGGGGATTATTTGACCTAATTGGGAATTTCTAAACCTAATTGGGAGTTACTCAATTTAATTGGGGGGTTATCCAATTAAATGAGGAACAAAATCAGTTTGGAAATTAACCTACCTACCACCATTAGGGATTTGATTAAATTCC